ACCGGGTTTCGCCTGCGGCACTCTGGCTGTGGCTGCTTCTGCGCCGCCGCTCCGTCGTGCGCGCTTTCTTCATTGAAGAGAAACGGAAGCTTTGGTTTTCGCTTTGGAACGGCCTCCTTCGTCCCGCTCGGTTCCTCCTTGTGCTCCGCCCCCTTTGTCTCCTCGTTATCGAATAAAAATGCCATCTTTGGCTTACGTTTAGTTATCATTTTCGTTAACACCGCCCGCTTCGCATCCGTTGGGGCGACAGACGTGGGCGTTGCGGTCGGTGGCACCTCCGCCGCCTGTCCCCCTTGGCGTGCTGCGGTGGGAGGGGGGATGGGTGCCATGGGCGAGACCTCAGGGGCCACGGCCTCGGTCTTCTTCGCCTCGTCTGGCGCCCCTGCTTCGCAGGAAACGGCTTCCGGCTGCTGCTGCGTTTCTGCCGTTTTCTTCCTTTGCTCCGCTGCGGCGTAGGCGGGTTGCCGGCGGCGTCGAGAGGGCATATTCGCACGCTCTTTACGATACTTACCCTATGTATATATCTATTTTTTTTTTTTTTTTTGTGTGTGTGTGCACCAAACCGTGCAACAACAATGATAGCGGCCGTTATAACAAGGAGAAAATTGGAGAGGAGAAAAAAAACAACAACAAAAAACAGAAGGGGAGATAAGTGGATGTGTGTAGAAGCAACAGTAAAGTCAAAATAACAACAACAACAACAAAAAGGACGGTGCTGACGAAAAGCCCACAATTGATTACAGCAACCACAAAAAGAGAGAACACAACAACATGGCGACGCTGGCGGCTGCACACATTGCCCCAATCAAAACTTCTTCTTCCCGTCACTTTTGTGGAGGCAATTTATTCCCCAGTTTACACGCTGCGTTCCTCTTCCTTTGCCATTTCCTTCCTTTCATCATCGTCGCAGCATTCTTCAGAAGAAACGGCAGAAGAACACCGACAGCATAACGAAGCTTGTTGATGTATCCAAACGTCCCTTCCCCACCGTACAACAAACGCAGGGTGCGCTTGAATGCTTCCTCTTCCTCATGGGAACAGTCTTTAAGATGCGAGTACGTCACAGTAGTAAGCCATCGCATTCTCCTCATCCATCGCCTCTGCTCCACCGCACTTAAAGTGTATATTCCCCTATTCTCCAGCACATGTTGCATCCTTTGCATGTGGTAGCAGGCTTCCTGCACGTTCCCGTGAGCACCGCCCTCCACCCGCACAAGAACTTCCAGCAAACTCAACTCTAACTGCAGCAACTTGACCGCATCAACGGCAAAACTCCGTTGATAAGCGCCATTGGAGAAGCTGCAAATAATATCCAATGCGTTCAATAGCGTTTTTACAGCAAATGCGACGCGGTTACTTTCCTGCAAGTCATCATGGACGTTGGAACAAAGGCCCTCTACAACGGCGAGGGAGCCTCGTCGATCGCACATTTTACTAAGCGCCACAAGGAACTCCAACATGTCGTTCCCCAGAAAGACGTCCATTGGGCCAAGTTTCCCCTTCACTCCCATTTGCTGCCGTCTGAGTTCAATTGCCGCAACGCAGCTCACAAGCATGCTGCCTGAGAGGCAACGGTTCGTGTCCTCGTCAGAATTTGGGCGCACAATGCGCTGAAACAATTCCTCCGCATCGGTGTTGGACGGGACCACCACAGACCGCCTCGCAAAATATAAAACGAAACCGCTGCACGCAATGCGTGCACGCCACATGTGGTTCTCCGCCCGCGCAACGGTTGGCTTTTTAGCCGCCTCTGCACTCCACTTTTACTCCCGCACAGCGCAGTCGCCAACCCGCTCTTGCCCCACAAAGACACCGCAAAAATGATGCGTCCAGAGCCGTGAGAGGGCGCCCTTCGATAAGTAAAAAACAATAGCAAAAAAAGTAAGAAAATAAAAAAAAAGCTGCAAAGATAATTTCTCCTCACAGACAACATCTGCGTCCGCGCATGCAACCGGAGCCGTTGGCACGAGAATTGTGCAGAAGAAGAAAAGGAGGAGGAGATGCCTAATCGCTAAAGAACTCCAGTGCATCCTCATCGGCGTCATCGGCCTTTGCGTCACCCGCAGCCATCGCAGTAGGGGAAGCTTGCACATTCAAAGAGGCCACAGTCGGTGGTGTCACAAACGCCACTTTCCAGACGCCGGTGCCCTCTTCACGGTACAGAAGATGACATGCGTCTCCCTCCATCTCAACCAGCGCATCGTCCAGAAGAACAACGTTTGTCATGGGAACTAAACGCAACAAACAAACAGAAAGCAGCAAGAAAAGAAGGAAAGACAATCAAAGTGCATCATCCGGTTCCTCAATGCCAATTACGTGTTCCAAGCGTGCAAGTCAGACAATTTTCAAATATAAAAACAAAACGGGCGGGCAAACGGGTGGTACGGCAACACAGAGTGACAGCGTCACCCTTTATCTACACAACGGCCGACAACCCGCACCTTTTTTTGATATTCCATTGATTTCATCATTTCTACCTTCTTTGCCACTCGATACGCGACGCACACCCTCCTACAAAAGCAGAAAAGGATTTGGCCGGCTAGATATTATAAATCAAATTGAAAAACATTTTCTTAGACACAAATATACCGGCGGCAGCGGTGGAAATCCAAAGAAGAGAGAACGCTGGGAGCTGCCTGCAGCAGTGACGCCTACATCATCGTGCAGAGACCGCCACACTTGCCTTTCTCCTTTCTCTTTTCCGTCTTCTGCTGCAGCTTTGATACAGAAGCAGACGCGGCAGCCTTCTTTTCGTTCTTGTTCACAGCCGCATCTGCAGCCACCGCTGTAGCCGTGGGCGCAGCCACCGCTGCCTCTCCTGTACCGATGATAGTTGCCATTAGTGAACCCGCCGACAACTCCGTGAATGGAATACCCTCTCCCTGGAGGTATGCCACTGTTGCGGCTTTCAGTAATTGCTTCTTCCCAGGCGCAGAGTGGTGACCGGCGCCGGTGATCAGTTCAAACTCCGTTACGGTTCCGCTGGGTTTTGCCCGGAGTCGCTGGACGCGGAACTGCAGCATCGTCATAGCCTCCTCCTTTCGCAGGCCGTGCATGTCAAAGTAGTCGTCCCCTTTGCCTTTGCCTTCGTTGTTGTAGTGCGCGATTGCCGCCGCTGCCTCCGTGTTCTTTTCCTCCATGTGCCTTCCAACTTCCTTCGCCTCCTCCACAAGTTTATGTGCGGCCTGAGCATCACCCTCGTTGCGCCTTGCCGCCGCCTCATCAAACAGTTTGGAGCGTCTGGCACCCAACGCGTCCGCCTCCCTGCGGAGTTTTGCGCCGACGGGCCCCTCGTAGTCGGGGTTCTCTTGGCAGGCGACGATCGCCTGCACCCGCTCCAGCGCCGCCAGCACCTTTTCCTCACTGTCGCCCGTGATACGGACGCTCGGGCCGTCGATGATTTCAACGCTCGCTCCTGTCGTGCTTTGGAGCTCCTTGATTGTCGCCCCGCCCCTGCCGACAACGTGCCCCACCTGCACCCGCGTGATTTGGACCACCCGCTCCATTGCCTTCTGTGAATATCGGCAATTTTTTACCGTTGTTTTTTGTTGTTGTTTTGAGTGCGCAGAGAAAACATCGGCGGCAACCGGAAAGAAATCACGAGGGATAAATCGTAACGTAAGGAATTGTACGTGGGCATGTGCGCAGGACACACACACACACAGAAAAAGAAAAAAACATCAATCAAACAAGAAGAAAAAAAAGACACCGCCCCCTTTTTATCCCTTCCCCTCTCACTTTTCCAGTTCCCCCTTTTCTTTACTGTTTACATGTTTATATGCATGCATTTCCGGTTGTCTGGCGAGGAAGAAATGAGGACCCACCGGGGGATCTCCTTCAGGTTCGCCCGTCCACAGAAGCACAAATATAAAAGTCACTAATAAAAAATTAAAAAAAAAAAACACCGTAAAGATGTGAGGAGCCACAAACAAACAAACAAACAAAACATAATGACAACAATAATGAAAAAAAAACAGCAACCCTGCGGCAAAGTGGAGAAGGCAATTTGCATGCATATTTGTATTTCTGTGTGTGCACATGTCAAAGTTCCCCAAAGATGCAAACGTTACAATAGACACACGGCGGTACAGCAATCCTTTACGTTTTTTTTTTTTCTTCAGTTGGCCCAACAATTTGTTGGCATTCATCCGCAACATAAATGCCTTTTCCCCTGCCAGTGGCCCCGGCGGCGCATTTAAACACTCCCGCTTCCTCCTGCAGAGCGTTCACTTCCTGCATTGTTTTGGAAATGTCATCCTGCAGCGCCTTGGCGTCCGCACGGACCTCCCGTAAGAGTACAACTTCCTCCTCCTCCTCCTCATTCCCCCTCGCCGTGTCAAGTATCCCAAGCGCCAGTCCCTCAGTGGCCTTCTTTGCCTCCATCGTCGCGGTCTTACCGACGCTCGACTTATCCTTCAGCACGACGGACGTCATTACGCCCGCCAACTGGGGCGTCAGTCGTCATGCCCCTGTCGCTGACGCATCCACCAACCGCTGCATCTCCACTAACTCTGCCTGGTTTTGTTCTCGTCATTCCCCGCTTCAGGGGTTGAACGACGTTGCGCTGCGCCGCGCAGTGGTGGTTGGTCTTGTCCGCCACCGCACGCACTCCCCGTGGAATCTTCAGCAGCTGCATTTTTTCTGCAAAACTTAAATTCAGGACTTATTTTGGTGAAGCCGTTGAATTCCCTCATTTTGGTGCCCACAGCCGGTGTGGGGTGGGGGGGAAAAATAAAAAAACAAATGAAAGTGCCCCCGCCTACAAGAAACCAACAGGGGAAAAACGGCAAACACGTAAAAGCGGAAATCCCTCTGGATTCAAAGTCCGTTTTTTTCACCCCGACTGCCGGTGAGAGGTGCCGCGGTGGTCTTTCCAGGAAGCAGCGACGGAGGTGACAAGAAGAAAAGAAGGAGGCGGCAATTTGATGATGATGATGGAAGAAAATGACGCAAATCACACGGAAAACACACAACCCCACCTGTCATGTCTGCATGTACATAAATAAACTCCCCCCTTCCTCCCGCCCTCCCTAACCCCTCAGTGACTGTGCTTGAGTGATGGCTGCAAGAGAAGGAAGGGCACGGGGCGCAGTGACGCGATGTTCATTGAACACCACTCACTTCCCATTCCAAAAGAACCCGCAGAGAAAAAGAAAAAAAAAAAAAGTAAAAAAACAACAACAACAACTGAGCATCGCAAAAAAAAAAAAAAGCAGGAGGAAAAAAGGGGGGTGACACATACATACATTCACAAACAAGGACAGAGAGTTCCTCCGGAAGGGGAGAAAAGCTCCGGCTACCTTCGGTTCATTGGACAAAAGGAAAAAAAACAACAAAAAAGCAGAAATAAATAAAAAACAAAAAAAACTTCTATATGCACGCACGTATAAAAGAAGAGCGTATAACAACACAACTAAAGATAGCAGTAAAACCCAATGGGCCCTTTGGAAGAACCCTTCGTCCGCCCCACAACGTACGCTCCACCAATTCCCCTTCCTTACTCCACCCCACACCTGGACGATACCCATCATCCCCCATGTCATGTGCCCTCCTCTTCTTTTATACGATCGATCCTCTCCTTTCTTCTCCCACTCCTCCCGCCCCAAACCTCCTCATTTCACATATTCCACACGTCGCATTCTCCGCATCCAAAATATAAATGTCGACACATCTCAGTGGCCGTAGTAGTAGTGGAGATTTTTTCCACCTACACCGTCGTCCGACGATAATGGCTCGGGGCTGCTTTGCCACGCCCCCCTGCTACTGTTGTTTCCCTCATCCATGTCTGCATCGTCACGTTCCACGTAAAAACCATTCCCCACAATAACACCATCGTCGCCGCGGTACGCGTTGCCCTCGGCAAATATGAGTAGAGACACAAGCAGCCGACTCCGCCTATTGTAAAGAAAGTAGTGTTGCGAAAAGAGTGACCGCGACACCATGGGATCGCAGGTGGGGCACATGAAGCGAAAGTACTCGCACCCCTGGCTTGCATCCATGACCTGCTCGCTCACAAGCGTCCAGAACTGCTCCACCGCCGGGCGACACGAGTCTGACATGGAGTGCAGCGTCACATCCACCTTGGCCCGCACCTGCGCCTCGTTGCAGACCACAAAGTCTTCCTCAGTGAGGACCGAGAAATCGTACCCGTCTTCACCGTAGATGCTGTTCAAGGCAGCCACGAGGTATACAAGCCTATCATCAATGTCCTCGGGGTCAACAGGCGCAAAAACAACGGGCAATCTGCCGTCCAACTGAAGCGGCGGTGGCGACGGGCCTGCGTGCGAGGCGGGGGCAAGTGGCGGGGTGTTCGCATTCGCGTAATGCGCCATAGAGGCTGCTAGCTGTTTCTTCTTGCGGGTGCTGCGGCACGTGAAGGCCTCCAACCGCACAGTCATAAGGCATCCTTGCGCCTCCACGCCCTGAAGAAGGGAGTTCAGAAACTCAAAACTCGCAAGCGGGACAAAATCCATCCGCGTGCCGACAACAAACACAAAAACACACACACACACAAAAAAAAAGCAAATAAAATAAAATAAAATATGTACGACAACCAACAACCTCTCCGTAATTACGGAAACCCACAACAGCGGTGAAACACGAACGATACGCAACTAGTGGTCAGAAGCACGCAGCCGGCCACTGTGCAGTTGCCGTTAGTTTATTTGATATACGCCTTCCCCTTCCAACTCGAAGTGTAAATTATTGCAAGACTCTTTTGATTTCCTCACCGTTGTTCGTGGTGTCTCCTCCTATCTGTCGGCCACACACACACACACACACACACACACACACACACACACACACACACACACACACACACACACACACACACACACAGGCACCGACTTGCTCTTCTTCTCGCACTGGGTTTAGGTCCGAAAGAATATGTATGTGTCTATGTATGGGCCTAGTGTTTCGTATCCCAGTGGATCGTACAAGCATCAAAAAAGAATCAACAACGAAGAGACACGCAACAATGTAAAACAACCACACAAACAAAGAAATAAAGCAAACAGAAATCTACAAATGGATTAAAGGACAAAAAGAAAATCTGCAGCGAACTGTCACCAAAACGACAAGGGCAAAAAAAAAAAAAAGGGAGAAGAAAAAACAATCCAGGAGTACTCGTTCTCTTTTTTTTTTTTTCTCTTCGTTACTGCCCACATGTATAAAATTTCTATGGCCGTGGTGGTGCTACACAAATGCCGCCAGTCCGCAGGCCCAGGAGCATCAAATTTATTTCCGCCACCTAATTTTCCCCCCTTTTTTTATCTTCTTCCTGTTTTTTTTTTTTTTTTATTGTTGTTCTTTTGGAAATGGGTTCCACAGACGCTGCATTTCATCTGGGGCTTTGCTTCTTCCTTTTCGTCGCTGAACTTTTCGCGACTTGCGCCTTCGCTCTATGCGCTCTATTCAATTTGGGTTTTTGCCGCCGTTGCCGCACGGCAGCGACACGTGTGGGGGTAGTCGTTGTATTTTTAACCGCCTTTTTGCGCGTGGGCCCCCTTCGCTCCGCCGGTGAGTTTCGTTTCGTTAATGTCCGGCCCCCTTTTGGCGATGAGACCGCAACTGCCGCTTGAGTTGCAGCCACGTTCGCTGGCGTTGAAGCTGACGCCTTGCGAGTTGTCATGGCCGGCGACTTGGTCGCCTTTTGTGCCAGCGGAGTGCTGCCTCGCGGTGAGGCCTGGCTGCTGCTAAGAGGCTTCATCTCGTTACGCGCCATCGCAGCCGTCCACTCCTTCAGCTCCTCGCAGAAGCTCTCGAAGTGGGAGCAGCCGTTAGAGATCTTTTTCTTCAGCTCCTTTCGCAGGTGCTCGTTTCGCCGCGCGGCAATTTCGTACGGCTTCCGCTGCGCAATCGCCAAGCCCCGCCAGTTCCGCCGACATGCATCCAAAAAGACGGCGTCCTGCTCACAATTCCCTGCGTCAGCCCCGTGCTGTTTAAAGTACAGCTCCTTTGCGTACACCTCGAGCGCCTTGTTGGGCAGCTGTGGGGCGGGTATGGACTCGAGCAGCAGCCACGGCCGCTCGATGCACTCGAAGAGCTCACGGATGCGGCGGCTCTGATTATTCTCCACCGTCTCCCGCTGTTTCGCCACGGTCGTGATGCGACGCTTCAGTGCCGCAATTTCAGAGTCGATGTGATGCAGCAGGAACCGGTACGCGTCTTCCGAGGCGTCTCCGTGTTGCTGGTCCTTCGACGGTTGCAGGGCTCCGGACGACTTTGGTGGTGGTGGTGACACTGCATTCGGGACCATTTGCGCAATCATGGCGACAGCATCATCGTGAAACTCTCCCGTGTGGCCATTTTGGCGTATGTCCGGGGTGCCTCCTTTCTTCGTGCCGGGGCTACTGTGACTGGGGCGAGCCTTCGCCATCACCGCCCGCCTCAGTGTGAATGGCCTTTCCTGCTCCAGAAGAAATTGCAGCGTGCGACGTAGCATGCGTATGACGGAAAATACTAACAGCAAGAGCGATCGGCCAGAATCCCGCACGCACTACGCACCCCAGCATGCAGCAACGGCAAACAAGGATGGGAAAGATGTCTGCGTACTGCACCGCAGCACCCCTCACAAACAGTACGCCGCACAATACATGCAGGAAAACAAAAAAAAAAAACAAAAAAAAAAAAGAAGAGGCACATATTTGTCATTGCGGGCCGTACGGAGTTATTCGTTTTGTTTCGTAGAAGAATAAGTGCGTATTCATGCACAAATAATAACAATCGCAGTTCGCCATAAACAAACAAACAACCAACCAAATAATAATCATATTATTATTAATAATAATAACGTCTCGCGCCCTACACCACCGCAAATGCCTTGCAGTTTGGTTCCTGAGTCGTCCGCCTGAGGATTACTTGAGAGCGTTGTACCCTTGCACATCCGAGGATGCCAATGCCCGCTCGGCCTGCTCACTCCCTGGCAGATAGACGTGCTCAATGTCCACTTCGCCCCGCACCAGCTGCGTCTCATGTGTGAGGTGGGCCAGGCGCTTCTCAATGCGCATGACACGGTGGGCCAGATAAAGAGCAACGGCAAACATACACCCTGCGACCAGCCACGCACCGGCACCACAAAGGGCCACCACACTCATGATGCACATAAAATCCAGGCGAAACCACATGAGTAGAATCCACTGCTGTTTACTAACATCGGAGTATTGCGCCACGTGTGTCGTGCGTGCCGCAAACACAAAGACGGCTGCCAACCCGGGAATGAGGGCAGCGTACTGCACCCACACCGGCAATATAATGCGACACACAGCCAAATGCAGTGGGAAACAAA